GGTGTCACAGTAGTGTGGTGGTGTCACAGTAGTGTGGTGGTGTCACAGTAGTGTGGTGGTGTCACAGTAGTGTGGTGGTGTCACAGTAGTGTGGGGGGTCACAGTAGTGTGGTGGTGTCACAGTAGTGTGGTGGTGTCACAGTAGTGTGGTGGTGTCACAGTAGTGTGGTGGTGTCACAGTAGTGTGGTGGGGTCACAGTAGTGTGGTGGTGTCACAGTAGTGTGTGGTGTGTCACAGTAGTGTGGTGGTGTCACAGTAGTGTGGTGGTGTCACAGTAGTGTGGTGGGGTCACAGTAGTGTGGTGGTGTCACAGTAGTGTGGTGGTGTCACAGTAGTGTGGTGGTGTCACAGTAGTGTGGTGGTGTCACAGTAGTGTGGTGGCAAGTGTGGTGTAAATGAACTTGGATTGTCTAAATATATATAGCCACTGTCTCGTATGGACCAATGGGCGTTCAGCAGTAGTGTGTATTCTTGTGTTCAAGACATCATTAGACGTCGTGGGTGATTAAGGGGAGTTAACGAGGGGGGGGGTGTAGGTAACGATGATTAGTATGGTCAACAGCCCTCCTCACTCTCTCTCTCAACCCCCCCCCCCCCCTTCACTGCCCAGTCACTGTGGTGGCACACACTCTGTGTATTAATAGTCTAGTACACCTCTCTGCACACAGACACACACACACATACACACACATGTATACACACACAGGGGCGCCTGTGGCTGAGTGGACAGCACGGTCGACACGTAATTCTGTGGTCCGGGGTTCGATTCCCGGCGCCGGTGAAAAACAATGGGTGCAGTTTCTTTCATCCCTGATGCATCTGTTTACTTAGTAGGAAATAGGTACCTGGGAGTTAGACAGCTGTTACGGGCTGCCTCCTGTGTGTGTGTGTGTGTGTGTGAAAAATAGTAATAACAGTTGATTGATTGACAGTTGAGAGGCGGGCCGAAAGAGCAGAGCTCAACTCCCGCAAACACAACTACGTGAATACACACACACACGCACACCCTCTCACTCTCACACACTCCCCCCTCCCCTACAACTGACCATATATACACACTTGCACACACACACTCACCCTTTCTCACTCTCTCTCTCGCTTCCTTTCACTCCCCCTTCTCCCTCTCTCACCCTCTCTCTCTCTCTCTCCCTCTCTGCCCCCCTCTTGGCAAACCCTATCACAACATAGCAGGAAAAGGGACAAACATGGCAGCAAGAAGCACAAAGGGCACAGGAAAAAAATGTGACCAAATGAAGGCAATGTTCACCCAAGTATGGGAAGATATCAGGAGGGAGATGCAAGAAATGAATAAGACAATAAGCATCCTACAAAGTGAGCTGACAGCAGCAAAGGAGGAGATTAAAACCCTTAAAGATAACAATACTGAGACGGAGGCTCAGATAATCATTCAAAGAGAAGATGAAAATAGTACATTGGAAGGGACTGCCATAGTACAAGCAACACTTGCAGAAATGCTAAAAAAAGAACAAGGAAGTAATGTCCACAGTGAGGGAGGTAGCCATGGAAGCAGCCACCTCACAGGAGGCAGCAAAGGCCACTAGTCAGCTACTGGAAAGAAAAAGATCAGTGGTTGCTGTGGGTATTAAAGAGCAGGAAGGCTCCAAGAGGACAGAATAGAATGATAAGGACAGAGCGGCAGTGAATGAAATACTAAAGGAGCTAGAGATGGAAGGAGCTGAACATAACATTGAGAAGGTTTTCAGGTTCGGCTGGTACAACAAGGACAGAGACGGCATGTTAAAGATAGTGTTTGCAAACGAGACATCAAAGTACAATATTCTAGCAAGGAAGAGCCAATTGCAACATGTGGGAGAATTAAAAAAAGTATTCCTCCAGAGGAACATGACGAGGGAGGAGAGAGCCATGGTGGCAGAAGCAAGGAAGAAGCGCAGGGTGAGAGGAGAAAATCAGGAAATCACAGCCTCCAACGTAACATTCCCAGAAGTGAGGGGGGAAGCCACAACCAGCATCCCAGCAACACCAGAGGGGAGGGAAACTCTATCACCCTCCTCTGCATAGAAACCTCCCCTACCCCAAACCCTTCCTGCCCCCCCCCCCTCAAATGCTCAGCCACCCCTCCCTCCACCTCACCCCATACCCACCCTGCTACTTCTCCCCCATTCCCACTATGCCCCCCCTCCCCCCTTTCCCTCCTGTCCCCCCCCTCCATATATATATATAAATATATATATATATATATATATATATATATATATATATATATTAGTATATTTTGGTAGCAGTCTTTCCTGTAGACATATATTATTAAATATGACCGAAAAAGTAAGATTAATAATTCTAACACGAATTTTCTCAATCTTTCGTACATTACGCTTCACTGTTGGAGGTATATAAAAAATCACTTCTCCAAAATTCATTTTTATTTCTAGTCTGACGCGACACGGGCGCGTTTCGTAAAACTTATTACATTTTCAAAGACTTCACAAATACACAACTGATTATAACTTACGTATCTCCGATTTTATATCTACATTTGAGTGAGGTGGGAGGGGTGATGTGGCATTAACACAAGACAGAACAAGAGGGGATATTAATAGGGTATTAAAAGTATCAACACAAGACAGAACAGAAACAATGGGTATTGAATAGAAGTGTTTGTAGAAAGCCTATTGGTCCATATTTCTTGATGCTTCTATATTGGAGCGGAGTCTTGAGGTGGGTAGAATATAGTTGTGCAGTTGTGCACAACTATAGTTCTGGTTGGTTAAATACCCCAGAATTCCTACCTCTCTTAATGGCTTTGAAGTATAGTGTAGTGGATACAGCATGCAACTGCCACCTTGTGGCCAGTGTTCGAGTCTCCTGGTGGGTTGAGTGTCTAAAAAGTTATACACTTCAGCTACTGGAATAGGGTAGTCTGTGCATTAAGCATTTGGCACTGAGTTTTCTATATATATATATATATATATATATATATATATAGAAGGGGGAGACCATATATATATAGAAGGGAGAATACCACGGAACACAGAACTCAGAGATAAGTCTGTACAAGATATGATGGACTATGTCAGCCAAAAGTGTCAGGAGGCAGTAAACAGGTTCATCCCGGCCCAAAGGGAAAAATTCGAGAAGCAAAAGAAGAATCCATGGTATAATAGGGCATGTATGGAAGCGAAGAAACTGAACAAAAGGCGTGGAGGAACTTCCGGAATAACAGAACACCAGAAAGCAGAGAGAGATACCAGAGAACCAGGAATGAGTACGTCAGGGTGAGAAGAGAAGCAGAGAAAAGTTATGAAAATGATATAGCAAACAAAGCCAAGACTGAACCAAAGCTACTCCACAGTCACATCAGAAGAAAACAACAGAGAAGGAACAGGTGATGAAACTTAGAACAGGTGAGGACAGGTACACAGAGAATGACAAAGAGGAGTGTGAAGTACTCAACAAGAGGTTCCAGGCGGTCTTCACAATAGAACAAGGTGAGGTCACTGCGCTAGGAGAGGTGGCAGTCAACCAGGCGCCTTGGAAAGGTTCAAAATTACGAGAGAGGAGGTCAAGAGACACCTGTTGGATCTGGGCGTGAGAAAGGCTGTTGGTCCAGACGGAGTCTCACCATGGGTATTGAAAGAGTGTGCAGAGGCACTTTGCTTGCCACTCTCTTATCTGAAGTGTATAGTACGTCACTGGAGACGGGAGACCTACCAGAAATATGGAAGACGGCGAATGTGGTCCCAATATACAAAAAGGGTGACAGACAAGAGGCACTGAACTACAGGCCAGTGTCCTTGACTTGTATACCATGCAAGGTGATGGAGAAGACCGTGAGAAAAAACCTAGTAACACATCTGGAGAGAAGGAACTTCGTGACAACCCATCAACATGGGTTCAGGGAGAGTAAATCTTGCCTGACTGACAAGCAAATGTAATGTAATGAAGATAGTTGTAGGGAGCAGGACGCCAGATACAAGGTATCATTTGGGAGATGAAATACTTCAAGAGTCAGAGAAAGAAAGACCTGGGGGTTGATATCACGCCAGACCTGTCCCCTGAAGCTCATATCAAGAGGATAACATCAGCGGCATATGCCAGGTTGGCCAATATAAGAACGCATTTAGAAACTTGTGTAAGAAATCATTCAGAACATTATATACCACATATGTCAGACCAATCCTGGAGTATGCAGCCCCAGCATGGAGTCCATATCTAGTCAAACATAAGACTAAACTGGAAAAGGTTCAAAGGTTTCCCCACCAGACTAGTACCCGAGCTGAGAGGTATGAACTACGAGGAGAGACTACGGGAATTAAACCTCACGTCATTGGGAGACAGAAGAGTTAGAGGGGACATGATCACCACATATAAGATTCTCAAAGGAATTGATAGGGTAGATAAAGGCAGACTATTTAACACAAGGGGCACACGAACAAGGGGACACAGGTGGAAACTGAGTGCCCAAATGAGCCATAGAGATATTAGAAAGAATTTTTTCAGTGTCAGAGTGGTTGACAAATGGAATGCATTAGGCAGTGATGTGGTGGAGGCTGACTCCATACACAGCTTCAAGTGTAGATATGATAGAGCCCAATAGGCTCAGGAACCTGTACACCAGTTGATTGACGGTTGAGAGGCGGGACCAAAGAGCCAGAGCTCAACCCCCACAAACACAACTAGGTGAGTACACACACACACACACACACACACACACACACACACACACACACACACACACACACACACACACACACACACACACACACACACGGCAAGGTAGAGAAACAGGTAATGAGAGGTGAGGAAGCTGTAGCAGCATAGTGAAGCTGTTCTTGCTATTGTTACAGATTCAACTACTAGGAACCAAAAGTTGCAAGTAGCACAGTCTATAGCGAGCCCGTAGTGGACTTACCTGTCACAGGAACTGAACTGTGACTGCGTATCGTGAGACAGGAGAGATATAAACAGAGATAATAAGGAAGATAGACGATAGAGATGAGACAGAGAGTGTAGGACTCACCTTGAGCTTATGGACTTCTCTCTGAAGCTTGTTAAGCTGTTCCGTCTTCCTCTTAAGCTGACGTCTGAGGTCCAGGGTGTCAGCCTCCAGCATGTTGATCTTGACGTCCCGCTCACGGACCTCAGCCTTGAGCTCGGGCACGAGGCCCTTGAGGTAGTTATAGTCTTCGGGGTACACAGCTTTGGCGGCAGTACGTCCATTCCCAGCGGGGTCCGGCCCCCCTGGGTTGACCCCATGGTGGGCGTGGGCGGCCGCCTGCCCTGACGTGCCGTTGCCCATGGTAGCCACCGGCATGGGTGAGGGCGGAGAGGGGGCGGGGTGAGGGGTGAGGGGCGGGGGGGCGGGGGTGAGGGGACACAGGTGAGGGGTGACGGGGGTATACACAGACCGGCCCAAGATCTGAGAGAGACTGACTGGTCCACTCTCGCTAGCCGGCAGCGCCACACTGCTGACGCCGCCCACTCCGCTACACCCGCCCACTTCCTCTGTGGCGCCGCCCACCTCGCTACACCCGCCCGCTACCTCTGTGGCGCCGCCCACTTCCTCTGTGGCGCCGCCCACCTCGTTACACCCACCCACTTCCTCTGTGGCGCCGCCCACTTCGCTACACCCACCCACTTCCTCTGTGGCGCCACCCACTTGGCCGCCAGAGTCGTCCCCGGCCTGAGGGTGTCCACCCTCGTGGCAGGGCGGGGGCGTGTGGGCGGGGGACTCCGGGGGCGTGGGCGTGTGGGCGGGGGGAGTGTCTGGGGGCGTGTGGGCGTCCTGTGTGAGGGCGGCCTTCTGCAGGAGGCGACTCATCTCCCTCACAGTGTCCGGGTACTCCTCACTCGCCATCCTGGAACACAACAATACCTTAGTTACACCTCACACACATCTTCTGATCTATAGAAAATGGCGAGTGGCTCAAAAGCCTACTCAACCCGTACACGCTATCTTAGGTCTAATACACGCTATCTTAGGTCTAATACACGCTATCTTAGGTATAATAAACGCTATCTTAGCCCTAATACACGCTATCTTAGCCCCTAATACACGCTATCTTAGCCCTGATGCACGCTATCTTAGCCCTAATACACGCTATCTTAGGCCTAATACACGCTATCTTAGCCCTAATGCACGCTATCTTAGCCCTAATGCACGCTATCTTAGCCCTAATACACCCTATCTTAGCCCTAATACACGCTATCTTAGCCCTAATACACGCTATCTTAACCCTAATACACGCAATCTTAGCCCTAATACACGCAATCTTAGCCCCTAATACACCCTATCTTAGCCCTAATACACGCTATCTTAGCCCTAATACACGCTATCTTAACCCTAATACACGCAATCTTAGCCCCTAATACACCCTATCTTAGCCCTAATACACGCTATCTTAGCCCTAATGCACGCTATCTTAGCCCTAATGCACGCTATCTTAGGCCTAATACACACTATCTTAGGCCTAATACACGCTATCTTAGCCCTAATGCACGTTATCTTAGCCCTAATACACGCTATCTTAGCCCAAATGCACGCTATCATAGGCCTAATACACGCTATCTTAGGCCTAATACACGCTATCTTAGCCCTAATACACGCTATCTTAGCCCCTAATACACGCTATCTTAACCCCTAATACTCGCTATCTTAGCCCTAATACACGCTATCTTAGCCCTAATACACGCTATCTTAGCCCTAATACACGCTATCTTAGGCCTAATATAACATATGTGCTATATTAGGCCTACGAATGTTTAAGATTAGTTATCTTATGTAGATAACCTTAACTATATGACTAGTACAGAACGTGATCATTAATGACTATAACCGACCATTTTTGTACGTTTGACTAAATAGTAGCTATTGGTACTATAATGGTAAGAGGCGGGATTGAGGCTTTAATCCACTTTTACCATTTAACGTAAAGCTAATTGGTCAATTTCCCCTGGTACAAGTGACAGGGTGAACCACCCACAGGATGAGTGGCGCTGCCCAATACTGTCACTTGGCGGTGTGTTCACTCACAGGATGAGTGACGCTGCCCAATACTGTCACTATGGCGGTGTGTCCACTGGGGAGTGTTGTACATGCTGCTATGGCGGTGTGTCCACTCACAGGATGAGTGGCGCTGCCCAATACTGTCACTATGGCGGTGTGTTCACTCACAGGATGAGTGACGCTGCCCAATACTGTCACTATGGCGGTGTGTCCACTCACAGGATGAGTGGCGCTGCCCAATACTGTCACTATGGTGGTGTGTCCACTCACAGGATGGGTGACGCTGCCCAATACTGTCACTATGGCGGTGTGTCCACTCACAGGATGAGTGACGCTGCCCAATACTGTCACTATGGCGGTGTGTCCACTCACAGGATGAGTGGCGCTGCCCAATACTGTCACTATGGCGGTGTGTCCACTCACAGGATGAGTGACGCTGCCCAATACTGTCACTATGGCGGTGTGTCCACTCACAGGATGAGTGGCGCTGCCCAATACTGTCACTATGGCGGTGTGTCCACTCACAGGATGAGTGGCGCTGCCCAATACTGTCACTATGGCGGTGTGTCCACTCACAGGATGAGTGGCGCTGCCCAATACTGTCACTATGGCGGTGTGTCCACTCACAGGATGAGTGGCGCTGCCCAATACTGTCACTATGGCGGTGTGTCCACTCACAGGATGAGTGACGCTGCCCAATACTGTCACTATGGCGGTGTGTCCACTCACAGGATGAGTAGCGCTGCCCAATACTGTCACTATGGCGGTGTGTCCACTCACAGGATGGGTGACGCTGCCCAATACTGTCACTATGGCGGTGTGTCCACTCACAGGATGAGTGGCACTGCCCAATACTGTCACTATGGCGCTGTGTCCACTCACAGGATGGGTGGCGCTGCCCAATACTGTCACTATGGCGGTGTGTCCACTCACAGGATGGGTGGCGCTGCCCAATACTGTCACTATGGCGGTGTGTCCACTCACAGGATGAGTGGCGCTGCCCAATACTGTCACTATGGCGGTGTGTCCACTCACAGGATGAGTGGCGCTGCCCAATACTGTCACTATGGCGGTGTGTCCACTCACAGGATGGGTGACGCTGCCCAATACTGTCACTATGGCGGTGTGTCCACTCACAGGATGGGTGACGCTGCCCAATAAACTCGTCCCTCGGGGCAAAATTAAAAAAAAAATCGTGTTAATGAATATAATATAGAGACTTGTCTTAGAATGACTGATTTAACACCTTCCACATGTGCAACAGCACATGTGTACAAGCAGGACATTCCAACACTGTCAGAACGACGGTGCTAAAGGTGGTGGTGGAAGCCACAGTGGTGCTATGGTACTCGACTGTCAGTGAAATGTTTCACTGGCCGCCTGGGTTCGACTCCTTCAGAATTGCTTTCTACCCAATTACCAAACATCCTCAGAATCATCGTTGTTGATGCGAACCAGCCAGCCAACCACGTCACTGGAGCACAGGACAATGACCCCAAGCATCCTGCTAATGTAACGTGTCGTCGCTTGAAGAACAAGGAGTTTTTCTGCAATGTTCTTGAACCGCTAAGTCAATCACTCGACCCCAGTACCAGTGATGTTGTCTTACTCCCGAGCAAGACAAGGCAACATGCAGCTATGTGTAAAAAAAACTGTAAATCCTGCTAGGTAAATCTATTACCTAGCAGTAAAATAGGTACCTGGGTGTTAGTCAGCTGTCACGGGCTGCTTCCTGGGGGTGGAGGCCTGGTCGAGGACCGACCCGCGGGGACACTAAAGCCCCGAAATCATCTCAAGATAACCTCAAGATATCCTACAACGTTCACCCAATATGGATGTAAATATATTAAAATTATAGATATAAATCTGTACTTAAACTTCGTATATTGTATTGTATTAAAATTCTTATGTTCTGAAGTACCGAGTCAAAATCAAGTTTACTACGGTCTAAATTCTTAGACTGAACTATTCTTAGTTCTATTTGTACACTACTGAAGTCACAATAGTTCACTAAATCACCAAATGTTTGTCCAGTGAGAGTTCAGTATTGGGGCCCAGATTCACGAAGCAGTTACGCAAGCACTTACGAACGTGTACATCTTTCCTCAATCTTTGACGGCTTTGGTTACATTTATTAAACAGTTTACAAGCATGAAAACTTGCCAATCAACTGTTGTCATTGTTATAAACAGCCTCCTGGTGTTTCCGAGCTCATTAACTGTTTAATAATTGTAAACAAAGCCGCCAAAGATTGAGAAAAGATGGACAGGTTCGTAAGTGCTTGCGTAACCGCTTCGTGAATCTGGGCCTTCTTCGACAACAGCACCAGAGCCGCTTCTATAGATTCCCTCTTGGAGGACATGGGGAAAATTACTGGAGACAAACTACACCTCTTCCTAAACCCCAAGTATGAAAGTTTCCTCGAACTCAATCATGAAAACAGTAAACTACATCATATAATCAAGCCTGCAGCCAGCACTCTCCTCAGCGCTCGTCCCACACGCTGCGACGTTGACGAGATCCTTGGAAAATAAATAACTGATCTAAGGAGGCTGGATTAGGATTAATGACAACTATGCTCATGATGTATTTTATCACTAGATGCCTCTCCCTTCCCAACATTAGTCTTTATTACTTTCAGAGGAAGTAAGCCACTTTCCTGTCAGACTCGGTGGCCTTTGTGTCAGCATAGGCGCCCAGATTGATGTTCTAGCCTTCTTAACTTCCTCCTCTGTTTCACATGACCTGGTCAAGGTAATTCTACGTGATAATTTTGGTGAATCACATGATCACAGCTCCGCAGAATGCCCCACACAATGGGATACCCTGGCAGCCCCAGCACGCAGTGACAACCCAGCATTGTTGGCTCTATGAAGAGCCAACAATGCAGTATAAACAACTCCATTGAGGACGAAGAAGTTGAAGCTTTTCTAGAAACAGCAAAGATGCTCAATGACTATTCTCGTGTTCCATGCACAGGATGTAGTTTTGGTGGTCCTTATGTTTGTAGCAGGCGGCCGTCTTGCCTCACCACCTCCATATTGTAGCGGCTCTCCACCTTGCTTCTCCAAGCCACACTGTATGTAAGTGTATTTGCGATGAGGCAGAAGCAGATGAATACAGGTTGCATGCGCCACACTGCAGGAAACCCAAGGGATGGCACACAAGGCTTGACAAAATCAGCATCATTAAGAGGAACCTTGCCTCTGCCAAGTGTCCAGCAGAGAGAGAGCGCTTCGTTTTTTAATGTTCCATAATTCTGCCCTTTCCACTAGTCGACCAGGTGCAAATACAAATCTCTGTGGAGGAATGGCAGGCCACTGGTATGAGACTATACTTGTATATTCTACCTTGGCTTGTGTGTCTACTGTTCAACACGCTTCCACTACACATAACTGGCCGACCCCTCACAGTGTTCAAGAGAGAACTATCAACATCAGAGGCCCGAGACTGTTCAACACGCTTCCACTACACATAAGGGACATAACTGGCCGACCCTCAGTGTTCAAGAGAGAACTATCAACATCAGAGGCCCGAGACTGTTCAACACGCTTCCACTACACATAAGGGACATAACTGGCCGACCCCTCACAGTGTTCAAGAGAGAACTATCAACATCAGAGGCCCGAGACTGTTCAACACGCTTCCACTACACATAACTGGCCGACCCCTCACAGTGTTCAAGAGAGAACTATCAACATCAGAGGCCCGAGACTGTTCAACACGCTTCCACTACACATAACTGGCCGACCCTCACAGTGTTCAAGAGAGAACTATCAACATCAGAGGCCCCAGACTGTTCACCACGCTTCCACTACACTAAGGGACATAACTGACCGACCCCTCACAGT